ATGTTCAGAAACCCACGAAACGTGATGATATGCAAAAAGTTTCAATAACGATTTTTGTGCATAGTTTTTTTTTTCAATAAAACAAACACTATAAGCAATTTCATTTTATCCTCTGATCTATTCGATATATCCTACTTCAAAGTAAAACAAGTTGTTATTTCACATGATGCTCACATGAAATTCTAATTAGATAATTAATTTTAACGCTCGTGCAGGTTTAAAACAGTTTCCATCCACTCTGAGGTAACATGAATAAAGTTTTATGACATAACAATGTTTTATACAAAAGCAAAACCCTGTGGAGAGAGATCATAAATATAAAATAACCGCCAATTATATAAATCATTACGAAAGTTCTAATTTAAATAACGAGCTACATGTGTGGGATTATTAAATGTGCTAATTGATAAGCAGGATTTGTTATATTTTAAACCTCCGGGTAAGAGAGGGAGTAAATCTGTGCAAATGCAACGAAAAGCGTTACGCTCGCGTCGAGTGCCAATGATTCGTTCATTTCTATACGGGTCGATTGTGATTGATCGTCGTGTCGCGTGAGCATGATTGCTCTGATTGCATAGTGAAAATGAAACATCTGTGCCGTGTAAGAAACGTAGTTTTATTGAAATAATTTGTATCAATCGTGGTTACTATATATTTTTAGTAATTATTTCTATAAGCAAGACAGATACTACAGCAGTTCAAAGAATGAGACTGTAACGCCAGCGAAATAGTCAAAAAGACAAACAGTCGATGAATGTATGTTAATTTTAATTACATGAAGTTCTTCAAACCCATCTATAATATAGCGTTTCTTTAACAAATTCTATTTTCTACTTAACCACTTTCTTTTCTCTCATTTTAATTGTGTTTTGCTCTCCGAATAATTCAATTCCAACTCTAACCACGTTACCATGAAAAGGTAAAAGCAATTTAAAACAAAGGAAAAAAGAGTTGAATTCTGATTCAGCGTTCAAAAATTACAAAACGAAGTAATTAGAACAGAGGACGTTTTTTTCGTCAAATCAAATTGCATAAAAACGTGTTCTTTGTAAAATAAATTTTCTATTGATTGAACGTAATTGAATAATAAAGTAAATTGAAGATTTTTAAAGCACTCGATAATTTTGCTCAATTATTTAGTCATATTGCATATTTTTTTATTCTCGATTGTCAGCTTGTGTCGCCACATCACTCCCCCCTTTCTGTGTCGACGACAAAAATATTTTGAAGGGTTTTCTAAAAATGTATCAAATTATATTGAAAATCAAATCGTTTTTACAATTTATTAAATGTTTTTCTAATATTTATGACAAACTTGTGTCACCACATCACTCCCCTTTTTCAGTGTGGACGACAAAAATATTCGAAGTGTTTTCTAAAAATGTATAAAATTGTATTAAAAATCTCATTATTTTTACAATTTATGAAATGTTTATATAATAAAATTTATGTCAAACTCGTGTTGCCACATCACTCCCCCCTTTCGTTGTCGACGACAAAAATATTTGAAGGATTTTCTAAAAAAGTATGAAATTGTATTGAAAATCTGATCGTTTTTACAATTTGTGAAATGTTTTTATAATAAAATTTATGACAGTTTCGAGTTGCCACATCACTCCCCCCTTTCAAGAATTCAACTGAAGTGTTAAAGACAAAACTATTCGGGGGCGATCGAAACTTTGTAAAAATGTATAAAATTGTACTTTTGTTTTTTCAAATTACAAATGTCATGACGACAATCTATTAGTTTGTATTCTTCCGTGCTGCCACATCACTCCCTCCCATTCATTGTTGGCGACAGAACTATCTGAAGGCGCAGGAACTTTGTAAAAATGTATAAAATTGTAGTGTTGTTCTTGCAGATTACAAAATTTCATGACAATCTAGTATTTTTTCTTCTCTCGTGTTGCCACATCACTCCCCTTATTTCATTTTTGTCGTCAAACCTAACTGAAGGCGACCGGGAAACTTTGTAAAAATGTATAAAATTGTAGTATTGTTTTTTTTTCAAGTTACACAAAACGTGCTGACAATCAAATTATTCTGATTTCTCTCGTGTTCTAATCGAATTTGTTAGAGAAACACAAGATTATAATTATGTTTGAAGAACTTCATGTAATTACAATTAACATACATTCATTGACTGCCACATCACTCTCCCTTTTCATTGTTGACAACAGATCTATGCAAAAGCGATAAAAACTTTGTATAGACGCATAGAATCATATTAATTTCAAATGTCATGACAGTTTTCTATTCTGTTTCCTAAAGTGTTGCCACATCACTCCCCCTTTTTTAGTGTCGACGCCAAAAATATTTGAAGGTGACCGGAACTTTGTAAAAATTTATAAAATTGTATTAAGATCTCATCAATTACAAAAGATCTTTATAATCGATTAATTTGTTTTATCTCGTGTTGCCACATCACTCCCCTCTCGGTATTGACAAACTATTGGAAAATAAGCAATGGAAAATCAAAGAAAACATTCAAGACAATTTGTTTTTTATTACATTATTTGCAAAATTTATCATACTATTTTTTTTGTCAAAAGTAAAATAAACAAAAAAGTAATAAAACTCAATACTATATTAAATAATTAAAAGTTTGTGAAGAAAACATATTCAAAAAACTTATTATTATAAGAAATAAATGAAAAAAATCAATTTTTAAAGATAATCCAGATTTTAAAATTAAAGATAATGAAATTTTTTTTGCCTGGCACAAATGTACAAATATCTTCACAAACAAATTGGACTGTGTATTTAAATTATATATTTTATATAATTCCATTAATTAAAATTATATAAACTAATTATGTATTTACAATATCGAAAATCTGTTATTCAATTTCCGCAAAGCCTATGATACAAAATCCTTTGAAATTTTCACTCATTTGTCTGTTTGTGGTTTAATCAGTAGAAAAGCCTTTTATAAATCATAATGAATATGAATTTAATCATGTCAAATCAGAAATAATTAATATATACATTCAAATAATAAACAAATTGTAATTAAATTATTGGCAGTAAAATATTTCGTGTAAAATATAGTACCGAGAACAATTTTGCAAGAACAATTTGTATTTTCAGAGTAACGAAGTTGCTGTAGGGTTATAAAACATTAGGCAATATCGTAGATAATTTAAATTTGAACAAATTTATCAAATATTTCATTTAAAACCGACAAACCGTTGAGGAGTTACAAGACTTTTAATAAATTATGATGGGTCGAATTAAGGGTCGAAACGTTTTACGTAAAATATGTCGTGTGGGGTATCATTTAAAAGGTCTCGACGACCTCTTTATGAATGTAGTACCGAGAACAATTTTACTTAAACAATTTCTATTTTCAGAGTATACAGAGTTGCTGTAGGGTTATATAACATTAGGCAATATTGTTGACGATTTGATTTTGAACAAATTTGTCGAATATTGCATTTAAATCAGACGATCCGTTGAGAAGTTACAACACTTTTATTAAATCATGATGGGTCGAATGAAGGGTCGAAACGTTTCACATAAAATATTTTGTGTGGGGTATCATTTGAAAGGTCTCGACGACCTCTTTACGAATATAGTACCGAGAACAATTTTACTAGAACAATTTCGATTTTCAGAGTATACCACGTTGCTGTACCGAGATATAATATTAGACAATGTTATTGATAATTTAATTTTGAACAAATTTGTCAAATATTGCATTCAAATCCGACGAGCCGTTCAGGAGTTATAAGACTTTTAATAAATTATGATGGGTCAAATGAAGGGTCAAAACGTTGCACGTGAATTATGTCGTGTGGGGTATCATTTAAAAAGGTCTCGACGACTTCTTTATGAATACAGTACCGAGAACAATTTTACAAGAACAATTTCTATTTTTAGAGTATATCGCGTTTCTGTAGGGTTATATAACATTAGGCAATACTGTAGATAATTTTATTTTGATTAAATTTGTCGAATATTGCATTCAAATCAGACGAGCCGTTCAGGAGTTACAAGACTTTCAATAAATGCACTAGTACGATGATGGGTGGGATGAAGGGTCGAAACGTTTTACGTAAAATATATCGTGTGGGGTATCATTTGAAAGGTCTCGACGAGCTCTACATGAATATAGTACCGAGAACAATTTTACAAAAACAATTTCTATTTTTAGAGTAAATTTTATATTTTCAGAGTATACGGAGTTGCTGTAGGGATATATATTTATTAAGCAATATTGCAGATAATTTAATTTTGAACAAATTTGTCGAATATTTCATTTAAATCAGACGAGCCGTTGAGGAGTTACAAGACTTTTAATAAATTATGACGGGTCAAATGAAGGGTCGAAACGTTTCACGTAGAATATGTTGTGTGTGGTATCATTTGAAAGGTCTCGACGAGCTCTTTATGTATAAAACACCGAAAACAATTTTACTGAAACAATTTTACTGAAACAATTTTGCCATAGTGATTTTAGTTTTTCATAAAATCTTTGACTAAAAATTAGTAATTATGTCACTCCCTCTAACTATTTTACTATTTTCAATAAATATTATATTATATATTGTATCGTTTCCATATTGTTTAATTTAATACAAATTACTAAACAAACAACCCTTATACAGCCATTAGTGCATTTAATAGTGTTTGTTTATATATTATTCCACAATTATGCACTAATTGATGCAAATAATGCATTAAGCAGACGACTGCAATTTAATATAATTTCCCAGAAATGCATAAATGAATTTAATTATATAACAAGCTGTTTTAATTTAAAAATTTGAACAAAAATGCATATTTTTTACATCTAGACTACCTAAACTATCTATATAACTATCTGTCTACGTATCTACTTATTCACTAGTTTACCCATCTACCAATTTACCTACCTGAAATTATATAAATTATATTTATCATGCTATTAAATTCAATTGAACATAATCAGTTCCAACCATTTGACTTTTGACGTATAAGTCGCAGGCATTTGTTTCTTTTTAAATTGCCCTTTGTAGACATAAGAATGAAACAGTATGTCTTTGTTTTATTTTGTTTTACTTAATTTCTTAGTAAAATATTTGTCTACAATTTTTTTTATTATTTTTCTAGGCACAAAGAGCCTTTTGGAATGTCCCCAGAAAAACATTACAGATTGCTAAATGTTGCATCTGAAGAAAAACCACCAATTGTTGTCTTAAGTGTAGTTGTCTTGGAAGCTGATGGACTTGAAGCCAAAGATGCAAATGGTAAGAATATTTATAAATATTGTTTAAAAAATCATAATTTTATAAATAATTTATATATATATATATATATATATATAT